CAAGAATAAGCTAGGGCGGGCCCAGCCTGTTCTCACTTCTGCTCCAGGTCTGCCCAACCATAGCTCTCCCTAAGCAGTGCTCACGCCGGCTTTGACTAGCCTTTTGACTCTATTCCTATCTCTGTCCTTGGACAGGCCCTACCCTGTTCTCCTACCACAGTGGCACACGCTGCTCCAGTTCCTTTGCACGTTTGTTTCCGGCTGCCTCCATTGTTGGTGTGCTCTGCCACAGCACTGGTGTTGCCAGAGTAGGCACAGTGATTATGTCCATGTACTCCATGCGGCCCCATGGAGCCCAGCGCTCAGATCTCTGTGCCTGTGTGTTTTAAACAAGGACACAGCAGGGCCACTGTCTGGAGATGTCGGTTTCCGTCACTGGAACCTGCCCAGCCTCCCTGAACCTAGTAACTGGCTCAGACACCTGGCTACAGGGTGGCTGTAACAGCTCAGTGTGCCCCACATGGCATCACCATGGCAGAGCACACAGACATAAACCAGTGTTCTAGAAACTTGAAGGTTTCATTGTTTCTTGCTGAACAGCAGGCTTTTCATTTTGTGGCAAAGACGGTCATAAATTTGTCTTAAGTTTTCTCCTCATAGTTCTGCAGATTCTCTTTCCTCCCTTATATCAGGGAACAGAAATTGTCATTATATCCAGTATGCATGTGTGTCAGAACTCAGGAACGCCAAGGGTAGAGTTGGAGCAGAGGATGAGGGGCAGGCTGGCCTAGCAGCCTGCAGCAGTTCACAGGAGAAGTGTGGCTCTCTCCTTTGTCTAGTTGGAGAAGAACACCAGATCTGATCTGCTGCTCAAGGAACTGTATGTGGAAAATGCCCACCTCATGAAAGCTGTTCAGCTCACAGAAGAGAAGCAGCGGGGTGCTGAGAGGAAAAACTGTGTCTTGGAAGAAAAAGTTCGAGCTCTCAACAAACTGATCAGTAAGATGGCACCAGCGTCACTTTCTGTGTAGAAGCTGCTGATTCCTAGAGTTCATGTGAAGGAATGTCTTTTCAAATAATGCTACTCGGATGCCATAATTTTCTATGGCTCACTAGCCACACTTCCTAGACACATAAGGACTGAGTCCTGTCTACCCTACAAGCATTCGAAGAATGTCTACTATGTGCCAGGTGCTGGGAAGTCAGTCTCAGGAAACGTCCTGGGTTAAGTCCCCAAGTCTGATCCTGTTGAAAGACAGGCTCTCAGCAAAGAGCAGCGGAAAGAAAGTGGCTGAGTATTTTGAGTGTTGTGCCTCGGGCTGGAAGACTGAAATGCAGAATCAGGTTCTGGGTGGGTTCTGTCCTCAGAGCTCTCCGTGTGGGTCAGTACACCCCAGGAAGAGGGCATCCCCCAGCAGTCCTCTGCTGCTCCTAGAGGTGGGAGGGAGGGAGGCAGGGAGGCATCTGAGGTGGTGGGCTCAGGGATAGCAGTGTTGGTTGTTGCAAGTGCAATCTCATTACAGAAATGTTGTCACACTGGAAATGTACATATTTTTTTTAAAAAGGTATAGTTTTATAACTGAGATATACCTAAATTATGACCATTCGGTTTACCAGAGTATTCTACTGTGATATGAAAAGTTACTGTATTTTCAATAACTTCTTTCCTATTAAAATTGATTTAACTCTTTAAGTTTTTTAAAATTGTAAATTTATTCACACATAAGTAGAAAGTTGTATTTATCACTATGGGGCTAGGAAGAAGGTTCAGTGGACAAAGTGCTTGATGGGTAAGCACGAGGACAGAGTTTGGACTCTTCCAATAAAAATACAAACAGGGATGGATAGGTATAGTGGCGCATGCCTTAATCCAGTGGTTCTCAACTCGTAAGTCATAACCCCTTTGGGGATCACATATCAGATATCCTGCATATCAGATATTTATAACTCATTACAGTAGCAAAATTGCAGTTTGAAGTAGCTATGAAATAATTTTGTGGGAGGCACCATAACATGAGGAACTGTATTAAAAGGTTACAGCATTAAGAAGGTTGACAACAACTGCTTTAATCCCAGGTGAATGTCTGACTTTGAGGCCAGCCTGGTCTACAGAGAGAGTTCCAGGACAGCCAGAGCTACAATAGTAAGAAAAACAAAAAAACCAGGATTCTCTACTCCAGTCAACTCTTCACCCCAGAAGGGAATGCTCTTAAAATATAGAGTCTAGTTTTACTAACCAGTAAAATACTTAGTTTCAGTATAGTTTGCCTTATACCTGTTAGTAAACTGGTTGCAAAACATGAGTTTTGCAACTCTGTGGATTTGGTGTCCCGGGTTTCTGCACCAAAAACGTAGGTAAATTGGTTGCAACAACTCTGGGGAAAGGTATCCTGAATACCTGGGGAGTCAGGAAACAACTTGAGCTGCTTAGGACAGCTCTGATGGCTGAGCTGCAAGGAGACAATTCAACCCTGGAAGGTGAGGTATCCCAGACACCTCAAGCTGCTCAGAACAACAGCTCTGTCCTGAAGGTGTCCCAGACACCTGGAGCTGCTTAGCACAGCTCTGATGGCTGGAACTGCAAAGAAGCAGCCCAGCCCTTGAAGGAAAAATTTTCTGACTTCTTCCGAGAGTCAGGCCTGGAACTGCTTCAGCAGGGAAGGGTATCCTGACTCTTCAGGAAAGTCAAGGTATACCTGGTGTGATGGAGGATGGTCTCCCCACAGGATATAGCAATCCTGCTCCTCTCATGGAGAGCCTCTACAGCTGAGCTTTGTTCAGCCCCCACTTCAGGGGGCTTCCTAGCAGAGCTCTGCTTCTCCGGCCTAAGATGTTGCTTCTTTTGCTTTACTCTGTGAAAGGGGAAACCCCTGCAGAAATGTTGCAATCTCCTCCGGCTCCTCCAGAGAAAAGTGTTACTTTTCAGCTTGCTGTGTCCACTGAAAAGATCTCAGCAAAGATCTGTTCAGCTCCTCCTTGCCCTACTCTTTCAGCTCTCCCTTATTTTGTCCACTGGGGGACATCTCAGCAAGGATCTTCTCTATGTCAGTGAATGAAGATCTTCACACCCAAAAACTCTTTTGAGAAAGAGATTTATTTGAAAGGAGGAGTCCAGGAGAGTAGCTGCCTCTACCAGGGTGGAGAGAACAGCCTTTTTTTTTCTAACTGACTAGGCAGGGCGGTTTACACAGGAAGTCTAGGGGGTGGAGTCAACCCTGGGCCCAGGATTCTACTATCCTGCTCTGTGATCGGTTGGTTTCACAAGTCAGTTGGCCAGGGGCAGAGTTGGCTCTGATCTGACTGAACCAAACTGTTTCTTTCTGGCCTGATCTGAGCCATCTTTCCCTAGTTCTAGGCTCCAGGGTCAGGGTAGGTTTCTTTAGCCAGCCCCCTTTTCCTACAATACCAGTATAGGCATTGTCAAAACTCACAGTGGGGGGGGGGGG